ATATGATAAGATTGATAACTAAGTTGAGCACGAAGCTCCTATCTAATGGCAGACATGCCAGTCTTATATAGAACCTTCATGTTCCTGTGCTAGCTTGCTAGCCCAGTCGCCCTGTCGCTGCAAGACCGCGCGACCGGTCGCCCTGTCTAGCACAACTAGTCACGTGATACGAATGGAATGAAATCCCTGGATCGCTTAGCTAGTCTAAGCGTCCCTATTTGCTATAAGAGATATGATAGTGCTCGACCTGTCAGGACACCGCCTGGTCTTCACTAGTCACATGCTTGCACGTGATTCGTGACACTAAGTAGTATTACTAAATCTAAGAGCCTTTTAGCTCCGGGCTTATAACCTATAAGAGGTACTATAGAATAGTACTTAGAAATAATAAATAAGGTAATTTTATAGGATTACAACTAAGAGAGAAAAAAGAACTATCTATGATAGTACGAGGTATATAGATACCCTAGGGCTAGTCCCTAGGTAGGTCTATATCCTGAGGTATAAAGTGTAGATACGGAATACTACCACACTAACATTTCCTGCCTAATATAATGAAGTAGGACATCAATAAAAATAATAACATGATTATGGGGTATCTACTGTAAGAAAATTCATAATGTACCACACGGCTCACTCCTTCTTTCATCCTTCAAACATCCCTCCGATATACCCTCCAGCTCCTTTCACGCCATTCATTGCTCCGCCTCCAACACTTTGTGCACCACCGACAACACCTTGGCTTGCGTTCTTTGCGCCCTCGCCAACTATACCCAGCGGTCCATAACTTCCCTTGTCGTCCTTCCCACCACGCTCTGCTCGGTTGATACCTTCTTTCGAGGCCATGTTCCCAATAGGAGCGAGGAATCCATTCTCCCCGACCTGATTTCCAACCAGGTTATGCACGTCGTCTTGGAGCTGATCTACTTGAGAAATGCCAGTGACTTTGGTTTTGTTGAGTGTGTCTGTTGTTCTTGTCAGTCTATTTTGATTTCCTACATTCGTCTCTCTACAAGCGGGGAGTGCAATTGCCTACCTTTGGTGGCATAACTAGCTTTGTTATCTCCCTTCCCAAACCACCACAGGTATTGGTCTTCGATCCATGGCATCCATTTTTCGTATTGATCGTTGTATACTTCCGCAGCCCATTGGCGGTATTTTTGTTTCTTCTTCTGTTCTTCTGGGAGTTTGTTGTATATTTCTTGCTTCTGCTCCTCTGATGGTTGTGCCAACCCAGTTACGTTCTTGAGGCTATCCATCGTGATTTTACTTGGGTGTTTTGACGCTGGGCCTCTGAATGTGTGTGAACTCAATGAACATTGATTGTTCTAATTATTTTTGAAGTTGGAATGAAGTCAGAAGAGGTTGAGATCGTCTTCCTTTATAGCTCACTCTACCCAACCAAAGCAGGCTCGAGGAAGGTTGAATTCATGGTGACGCCACAGTAAAGAGATGAGTTGAAGCGTGGCTGAATGACGTCGAAGGCTTCGTTGCAGATGATGAGTCTGCTGGGATGGGAAACCGGGTTTGTTGGTTCCACAGCAGGGGGTTTTCAGACCCCACCAATCGTTCATCTCATTTTATATCAAGAGATATCACCACGAACCAGATACGATCGATTTCAGACTACTTATGACTCAAGTTAGTACGTCTCTGTTTGTTGTTTCCTTTTGTCTTGAATTCTTGTTGTACTCGCGCATCTGATAACAACCCATGTAAAAACAAAATATCTCTCGATCTCTACTAAGAGGTAAGAGAGCGGCAGCTTTGGTAGATTGGTATGGCCTTCGGTACCGCATTCCCTCGTATCTCGCTTTCTCTCATATTTACTTGCCTGGAGCCTATATGGCCGTTGTGGGAGACTTGCACCCACCGGTTCTCGAATATTTCGAGGTGATGCAAGGTATCTCAAGCTTCATGTCAATCTGCCAGGTCGAGCCCATAATGGGGAAGGGGAAATTCCGTATAAACCAAGACTAAAACATGATTGTCTTTTTGATCTTTCCTCAAGGACGATGGAATTGCGAATTCGAATTTTCAAATCTATCTCCCCATGCTGGGAGAAGCTACATTCTGTCTATGGTCGTGTTTATGGCGAGCATCGCATTAATACCTGATACCTAATGCCATGAGACCTATAAGATCCAGCCTTTATGTATCGTAGAGTTCTGAACCACCAGAGTTTACTGGGGAAAGCTTTACCTTTCCCGTCCATGAGTACACATGTTCCAACGTCGGAACAAGTACCATCATATCCAGCAAATCGGGTCCAGAGGCGAGCCTTAGCTCAATTCACTGGATCTACCGACAATTGTTTTTTGGGGCTCTTATGTACGCTCAATGGAGCCTCTTGGGGGCAATACTTTCATAGGATAATGAATTCCATGTCGACAAGAGAAGCGCAAGAGCCACCTGGACTTGAATGGAAATAATAGGAATGGATTTAAAATAGACAAAACCGAATCCAAACTTTGGTATCGGTCGTTATCTAAGTTGTGATACTCGTATCTCCTGCACGGTTCGGAGGTCTTTCGGACCAGGATTAAGCACCCTTGCGTAGAATTGTTTGAAGGTATGAAAATAAGTGTATTCTAACACCTTAGTAATACTAAGCTATTAGATTATTATTTCTTATTATATAGTAATACTTTACTTAAAAGACTATAAGATAGTAGAACTACCTTAAAATAACTTTTAAATTTAGTTTAAGTAATATTTACTACCTTTTCTTATACATTTAATAACCGTATACTACTTTCCTATTTAGGAATAAGTTAAATTCTAGTCTTATCTATAAATACTAAGGATTCTACTTCTATAACCCTCCGGCGCTATTCTTTTATATATAGATTTCTTTCTTTTAATTTCTCAAGAACTTACCTTTATTACTTCTTCCTCTATATTATATAGTATCTATAAGTTTATATCTATTTTACTAAGTATTTGATAAGTTAGTAAGCTCGTAGAAGTAGTACTAGTTATAGCTAGTATAGGTATAATATTATTAGTAAAAATAGGTATAGAAGGAAGTAGTTAGTCTTTGAAATAAAGGGGAAACCTAGGTAGCTTAGGTAAAAGTACTAGTTGTCTTACTCTTAGAGTTCTTAGATTATTAAGGAGTATTTCGACTTAGTGGTTCTTTAGTAGATAATATAGTATAGGAGAGCGATTTATAATAGATTAAATAACTCGTTTAATAAGAGATGGTAGTAGCTAATCTAATCTAATCTAATTATTATCTTTAAGTATAAAAGAGGATTAAAGCGTTTTAAAGGGTTCTAGAGATAATAATATAAGAGATAGCTAGTAGAACTAAGGTTTAGAAGATAAATCTAGATATTAGTTACTTGTAGGTAGTAGGTATTAAAATCTATAATCTACTTCTAAAGTATTATTAATTAAAGGAAGATTTAGTTCTAGTTTTAGATTCCCTTTAAGGTTATAATATTTATTTTAATAAGTAGTATAAAGTAGAACGTTATATATACTATACTATTGCTTTATTTTACTAATTAATCTTTAATTATTTCTACTAATATAGATATTTTATCTACCTAGATAATATTTTATAAGATTATTTTATATTATTAAGGCGTATATATAAAGTAGAACGTAGTAGAAGTATAGTTAAATAAACTTATAATTTTAGTATATAATTATTCGTTCTAATTAAGGTTTTATATCTTTTATTAACTTCTTAACTAGGTATTCATAGAAGTAATACTATAAAAGTAAATAGTACAAAAAGTATATTAAATTCTCTTCTCTTAACTATTTCTAAAGAAAATATAAGTTAATAATTATAGTATTAAGAAAGTAAAAGAAGTAAAGATACTAGTTATAATAAGAGATTTACTAAATAGAAAATATAGCTTATAAATAATCTATAATATCGTACCTATTTATATTCTAATTATAGTCGTTTATAATAAGAGGAATTAGTATATAGATATAATACTAGAAGAAATCGTTAATAGAACCTTTATTAATAGGATTTATAGAATTAGTAGGATTATTAGGATCGCTACTAGAAAGAGGCTTACTAAGTAGTAGAGTTAATATAGGAGACCTAGTAGTAATAGCTTTAAACGTTTATAATCTAGGAGTATTCCTAGACTTCCTTCTATAAGTAGTAGTAGCTTTCGAAGATTCGCTACTTAAAATAGGTTATAGAGGCGGCGAATATAGTAGAGAGAACCTAATTATTATAGTCTTAACTGCTATAGAGCTATAAAGATAAGCTATTTAAGGTTTATTTCTATAAGAAGTTAGAGTTTCTAGTATATTCGCAGAAGTTTAAGGAGTTTTAGTAAGGTTTATAGGTTTTACTACTTAGAAAGGGTTATATAAGTAGTAGATTTAGTACGAATAGCCCGGTTATAGAAGCTTCGAATTGGAACGCTCTGTAAGCTTCTTATAAAACCTTCTTTAATTCCTTAAACTCTTAATAAGGTTATAAAAATAAACCCTTTTCTATTATAAATTATAGATGAAAAGAAGACGTTTTTAGCGTCTTTCTATACTATTATAAGAACTCTTCTCTCCTTTACCAGTAGAAGTAACTAGTTCTTTTTAATTCTAGATATTTTTAATATTTATACTATTATTAAACGCTCCTAAATATTATTATCTTTATATTAGAGGTCTTACTTAGAGAATTAACGTTTAATATAATATTCCTTTACTATTTCTACTACTTTAATTCTAAGCTTTTAAAGGGTATAAAATAGATTATAAGTTAAGAAGTAATTATTAAAGAAGATATTAAAGGAGTAAGTAATATATAGAAGGGTTTTTATAATAGATATAACTATAGAAGCTATCTAAGATAAATCTAGAATTTTAGTAACTTTAGTAGTATCTAAAATAATTAGTATAAAAGTAAGTAAGTATAGAGTAATCATAAACTATAGACCTTCTAAATTAAATCGAATCTCTATTTAATAATAAAGCTACTATTATATAACGCGAGTATTTAAAAACTAACTAGTATTAGCTTATACTTTTACTTCTTCTTATATAAGCTCTTTTCTATAAATCGTATTATTTGTTCATTATAAAATAAATTCTCTAAAGATATAAGAACTTAATAAGATACCTTATAAAAGTATTTAAAAAGAAGAGATAATTTTATATACTATTTAGCCTTTTAATTTACCCTAGTAATAGGATCCTAAGTCTAGTTAAATACTTTAAAAAATCGCTCAATTTATTAAAATTAAATAAAACTTATTTACTATGTTAGTTTATATCGAATAAGATACTACTAGAGGTCCTTAATCTTTTATAATCTTTCTAATTTATAATATATTAATATTACTAGAAATATCTTAATATTATTTACTATATAGGGTTCCTAGGGTTGCGGATCGTTCTTATAACTAGATTCTAGGATATATTATATATTATTATAGAGTATATAAAAGAGTAACTATATAAAGTATAAGGAAAAGAAGTTAATGTCACGAATCACGTGTTAGCATGTGACGAGTGAAGACCAGGCGGCGTCCTGACAGGTTAAGCACTATCATGCTCTTATAGCGAATAGGGATCGGCTAGACTAGCTAAGCGATCCAAGGATTTCATTTGTATGTAGTCACGTGATGGATCTTGGGATCTTGAGGATCCCAAGATCCAGGCAAAGGATCTGGGGGATCCCCAGATCCACGGGGACGAAGATTCTATATAAGACTGGCACGTCTGCCATTAGATAGGAGCTTCGTGCTCAACTTAGTTATCAACTTAGTTATCAAT